TGTTTCTATCTGTTCCTTCAGAAAGTCTCTCTCACTTGGACTTTGGCCGGATTTCCTCGGTCGGTCTTGCGAGAGTCAGAAGATGCTCCAGCTTGATTTTTTTACCTTGTGTGATCTCTTCAATGTCTAATCTCGCCAACTTTTGTAAGCGATCCGTAACCTTTCGCTCGACAATCTCACCATCCTTTTTCATATCCTCTCAAATCCCAACAGCCTCATATTGAATCACTGTCCTGTTTCAAGGAAGCACTTGAACACAATCTGCTTGAAAATCCACACATTCCCTTCACAAACTTTGGCTTCTACAGTATCTGCTTGTGCATCTGTTTCACTTAATTGTTCTCCTGTTTGACATGAAGCTTCAATAGACAGAAATACAGAAGCTCTCCATGTTGCTGACATGATCAGTGAGACGGTTCTTCAAGCATCTCAACATCTCCTGCGTCGGTCTCGCCTTCCCGCTTTGATTGCAACCATAAAATTCGTCCCTCTGGCTCGATTGGCGGCGACTCTGGACGAGACCATCCATAAGTACCGTTTTGTTCGAGCATATGAGGTGGTGGTTCTGGAGTTTGTATCTCTGTCGACGACCTACGCGAACGGTTCCCATCGTCATCTGCTCCTGGTTCGAACCCTTGCCCCTGTTCTTGCTCTGAATAATCGTGATCTAATGTGCCATTTGCATCGGGCCCAACTTGCCTCCCTGCTACCGCAGCTGCTTGTCCGTTTACATGCTCCACATCAAGTTGCATGCCGTTCCCATCCCCATCTTCAGCTTCGGCCGTCACTGTTCGATCCGCATCATCCTCAATGTCAACTGGACGAGTAGCAGCGGGACCGGGACTAGCAGTGGCATTTCTGGCCAGTGCGGCAGCGTGCTTCTTTTTGGCCGCAGCATACCTTTCCTTAGCTGCATTGTTCCGTCGAGCTTTCTCCTCGGCTTGCTTGTCATGCACCGCCTGGGCTTTCGCTTCATCCGCCAGATCGTATGCCCACATTTCGCTTAGATGCTCGTCAAATCTTTCGCACAATGGTCTCCATCGTCTGCCTTTACCTTCCCCTGTAGCCCCTTGCTCTCCAATGGCAAAAGTGCTGGACGATGAAGAGGAGGTAGCACGCTCCAAAACAGCCTCAATTTCGTCAGGTGGAGGATATCGAAACCCGTGCTCGCCAGTGATGAGCTTAGCCCTTGCCCCGCCGTAGCTCGACACAAAGGGGAAATAACCCAACGCACCATCGTCAAAGACATTCTCCCTTGGTTTGACATTGATCACCGGCTCCACGGCTTGACCTTTCTTGGTAGGGTCCGCCTTTGTTGATCGGGAGATGGAAGGTTTGGTTGGAACGGCAGATTTGAGCCCCGAGAAGCCCTTGACGCGCAGAGGACGGTAGTCCAAGAGGTCTGTGAAAGCTATGCCTTGAGGCTCGCCGTTAACGAAAAAGCCTATTTTGGAGCCAGAGAGTTTAGGGACTGGGCGAAGAGACGGGATGGAGGGACCAGAAGGCTTTTCACTTTTGCCTGGATTCTTGTGAGTCTTGACTTTGGCAGAACCGCTGCTTCCAGTGGGTACGCTGGTAGATGCTGAAACGGCGTTGGCGTTGGGAGCGCCAGCCATGCCATTCGCGACGTCAGAGGAAGAGGACACGGTTTGAGACGGGTGTTGCGGTTCAAACACCCCTGTGCCTTCGATACCCTTGAGTGCCTCCTCAATACTGTTACCTTTCCTGCTGCGCTCCATCAACTGCTCCATCTCTCTAGTCCTCGGATACTCGAGACTTTCGAAATAGAGCTGGTTCTTGTATCGAATAGCTACCCGCTCTCGTTTGATATTTGCCGGGTCATGTTCATCTTGCGGCAATCTCTGTGGTGGTAATTTGATGTACAATCCGACGACATCACCCGCTTTGAAAGGTTTCCCGTACGGCAGGGGTCTAGACAGGGTCACCTTATCGCCCGTCTTGTCCCTGAATCCATAACTGTACCCATCGAATCCGACAGGCGCATTTAATGGCGCTTCTCTCCTTCCCCATCCGAGTCTGATATGGCTTCCGTCCTTCATGGGTGTTGGAATCACTCCTGGAGCACCTGCTCCTGCAACCAAATGTTCTGGTGGTAGAATCTCGATTTCGGTATACCACTCGCCTTCTCTCACGCCAATGTTTGTCCTTGCACTTCGGAACCCTTTGTCTGTGGAGACGACATCTGCGTCGGCAGAGATCTTTGTAAACGGCGATCGATCAGACCAACACCAGTGAACTGTAGCTGGTCGAGTCTCGAGTGTTTTGAAAAGGGTTTGGGGCAGTTGCTGACTCGCGGGCCCAGCGGCAGTATAACGCCAGCCATTGCGGTTGACAGCAAAGTTGATGGTGTTGAACATGGTGGAGAAGCCAGGGGTAGGGACGAGGTGAGGAGGCGGCGCAAAATCTTCGGGGTCATTCTTGCGGAGGGTCGGACCACGGTAATTTTGAGGCAAGGTGTGGTGCGATTGGTTTGTGGAGGGATGAGTTGGGGTGGATGATGTGGCTGCGTCTGGAGTGGAGCGGTCATCGTCGGAAGAGGGGGAGGAGCGGCGTGATGGTGGCAATGAGGGAGAACGTGAGCTTGTAGGGGTAGGGATATGATCGAGGAGATGGGGAGCTGTGCGCGCAATGTAGACGCGCTGCGCTTCGGATTGAGAGTGAGGTGCTGGTGTGGAGGATGCGGAGCGGACGTGGTGAGGTGATGATGATGGTGCAAGCGGTGAGTAGGTATGCGGTGGCGAAGAAGATGCGCTGACTATAGACTGAGAAGCGACATCGAGGTGTGTCAAATCGTCATACTTTCTTTTGTTGGTGCTAGGTATTGTGTGAATGCCATTAGCTGCGCTTCCACTTGAAAATGCACCAACAACTACAGTAGGGCCATCATGAGCAGCGAGCGGCGGCGCGAACTGCTGAGGAGCTTGTGTATCTACGTCCATGACATAAGTGTTGCAAGTATTCTCCGGATTAGCGATACTTGGGCAAGGGTAAGGGAAAGAAAGTATCCGGTGTCAACAAGGATAGAAGATTAGAATAATAATAATATATCTCACGCCAGACCCTTTCCCTTGTACGGCAGCCAAATTCTGATCCTTCTCCACGTGACGCTGCACTCTACGATATTCTGCAGTGAAATTATACAGTATTCTACAGCATTATTTAGTTTATTTGCAGTTGTCCCTCTTTCGTTTCCGCGTCGCGCGTCGCGGTAATGGTCACAGTGTGACACTTATCTCTTCTCTGCATATTTCGCTGTTTTGAATGATTTCTGCAAGGATAGCGTGGGTGTGTTAATTTGAGTGTTACTTTTTTGAAGCTTGAGCGAGAGAACAACACTATATTTCCACAAAGAGGATTGTTTGACGCTTGAAATCAATCATCTCTTTCATCTCTGCCATCATTCCATAGATATTATCACGCTCCAAACAAGGTATAGAACATGGATTCGACACGCCTTCCACCGCAAACACCACGCAGGCAACTGCTCAAGCGCATCCACCGAAGAAGCTCCATCCTCCCGTCAATCGATCCTTTATCACAACCTCAACCATGTTCATCCACATCCACATCCACATCCACCACACGCTCCTCATCTAAACTCACATCTATCAATGCCCACAATACGTCTCCTCTTCTCGTTAGTATGGCTCTCGAGAAGCACGATGAGGCAGAAGAAGACTATGAGCGCACAAAGTGGAATGTTCGAGAAACACAATTTCAGCATCAAACACAACCTGCCGACCACAAGGTAATGAACACTGATCATGATCACTACAACAGTGAAGACGGCGCAGATGAAAATGGCGAAGAAGCAGCCTGGGCTCAGGTAGATGAACTCATGGATACCGTCCAACTCAAAGACCAGCGCATTCTTGAGCTCGAAAAGACTGTCTCTTCGCTCCAGCGCGATCTCAGAGGCTCAAAATCGTCCAAATCTTCCAACCCGATTTCTTCAGACGGCGGCTTGACTCGAGCTGCAGCCATCAAGCTCGAACGCGAATTTCTATCCCAAGAAATGATCCTCAAAGGTCTGCAGCGCGACAATGAAGACAAGACACTCGAGGTGGAGGCGCTTCGACGCAAAGTAAAGATCATGTCGGATTTCCTCGCACGTCAGTACGGGGCTGATGACTGGGAAGCAGTCGTATCTGCAGCTTCTGGTACAATCGTGGGCTCGGGATCAATCAAAGAGACGCGGGCGGCTGCACCTGGAAGCCCTGAAAAGGAGGCTTTGAGTGCGGTCGCAAAAGTGTTGGGTGCTGTGAACGTCAGTCCGCGAGCGGGAGGCCGAGCCAAGTTGACACCTATTCTGGGCAGTGATGCAGAAGCGAACCCATTCTCACCGGCCATGGCGAGCCCGACAAAGGCTCTCAACAATGATGACGTGCTGATCCCCACCATTGCAAGGATGCAAACACCCTCGTCCAGCCCAAGCAAATTGCTCGTCTCCTCTTTCACAACTCGGCGCACATCGATGGATCATGCGGATCATCTGGCAGATCAAGAGGCTGATCAAGAGGCTGAAAGGGAACCTTGCCCACTCATCTTGCCAGACGAGGTGACAAGCAGACCAAGCGTACCGTTAGCAGGTGTAGATCCCAATGTGCTGCTGTCTTCAATCGAGAGCGTTCGGCTGTTGATGCAGGGCTTTGAGAGGAAGAACGCCATGCGTCGTGCAGAGCTCGAAGCCACCATTGAAAGAGCCATCCAGGCCGAACGTCGCGCCGAAAGCCTTCAAGCGAGTGCCTCATCCGCGGTGACAACTTCGCTCCCAAAACCGGCGTCAATCACAGCCTCTTAGCTCGCGAATCATTTCAGATTTGCTCAAACTAGTCTTAAATATGTCTGTTCGTAATGCTCTGCTGCTGTTCATACACTTTCAATCATTTTGAATCCTGTCGAGCTACTTTTGCGAATTACCTTGGCAGGGCAAAACGTTGACTAATTATTGATTCAAAATTTGATCGCTGACTGTCCAAGGCAAGATGGCCGAGTGGTTAAGGCGTAGCATTAAGGAAGATATCTCGTACACACCGAGGAAACCTGCTATCTTCGGGCGTGGGTTCGAATCCCACTCTTGTCACCATTCTTTTTTGCGTGTTTTTTTTTAATATAAAAACTTGGATTGTGGATCCTATCTTCTTATCAAGAAGGCACCATTTTTGGTCTTCTTTTGGGTCAATGTGGTGGAGGCATGATGAGCAGCAGGACAGACAGGATAGGTTGTCCGAAGGAAGCTGCTTTTGTTTTTTTTTCGTTTTTAGATTTTTTAGATTGTGATGCAAGTACAAATACAGAAATGGAACGGCAAGGGATGGAGACAAGCTGCGCAGTCGGACATGGTTGTGAATATGAATGCGGAGGACGAATAGCGAGATAGATAGGATGCGATGATATAGCCTGTTTCGGACTGTGCAGGTCACAAGTTTTTTGAGATTGTTTTAAGAGGGGGAAGGGGCAGCGAGTCTCCTATCCTGATCCTGCTGATCCTTGATCCTTCTTTTTTGGAGCATATCGCCGATGACTGACCTGTAGTATGTGCCATCGAAACCATTTGCGTCCATTCTTGGGTAATTTGGTAAACCAAATTTTCCCTTTCTGGTTACACCACCTTCGCTATTTGCTCCTGTGAATACATAGGGTCGCAACTGTTTGTTTTGAGCCATCATGATCCAAGTGATCCATGTCAAGCCCAAACGAAGAAAAGGAGAGTTCTCAAAGTCAATGTCAATATCAGTGTTCTACTATCATCTCTTTTATTCTTCCTTTATACATTTCTTGGGAGGTTTACCTTTGTTTCAGCGAGACCGGGAGGAACGACGAAATTGGGTACCCTGGATTCGTCGATCTGATTTGTTTTAAGATGCCAGTATCTCTGGTTTCCATTTTTATCGTAGAGCTGATTTCCGCGTGGATCTGCTGTGGCGATACGTTTACGACGCATGATGTTGCCGGTACGAGTACCCTTGTAAAAATCACGATTTGCTTTCTTGGAGTTCAACGGCAATCGGCTCGCTTTGGAGCATGCCACCTGTGTTGGCTTGAACATGCTGAGCTAATTTTTGCGTGAATACGATGCTTCGTGCGTCCGCGTCAAAAGAAAGTGTGCTGATAAAGATGGATGAGACGTGTAACGTGAACGTAAGTAGGGTGCCGAGTTGATAGTGAGAAGAATCAACAATGGTCGACAAAGGTGACCGGGCACAAAAAATAAGCGCTGAAAGGGTTGCACGCCATTCGGAACCGACAAGATCTGAGCCATGAGTTTTGGCTTTGTGATTAATTATTAGACCGAGAATCAGGTGTTACGGGAAACATTGAGACCTTCATTTAAATACTCTATCTCACACGCTGCTGCACTATGGTAAATTATCGTAAATTGAAAATTTTTCTGAACACAAATATACAAGGAGAAGCAAGCTGAAGGCGGTAAATATTAAAATAATTGTTGAGCTACAAGAGCGAGAAGAAGAATCGAACCCAAGAACAAGAGCGAGAGAGAAAGCAAGCGCGAGCAACGAGCAAAGTGAGTGAAATTTTTGTTAGCTTTCTCTCATTCCTTGTTCTAGCACGAGCCACTGGCAGAAATTTCAGTGCAGAAACTCAGCGCTTCTTTTTTTTGTTTTCAATCTGCAGAACCACGTCAAAAATTTCTTGTGCACAATGAATTTACCTGCCACAATTACAGTATACAAAGCTCAGCAACACGGCATCTCAGTATTTACACAAGCTAGAAAGCAAGCCAGACTCAAACCCCCAAATCAAAGCACTCTGCCATCATCAACGTTGCTCTCCACCACCACCACCATCACCTCTTCTCTTGACAACCGCAGCTGTGACTCTTCCGTATCATACTGCCTTTGTCTACTCTCCGACTTGCTCCCTTTCGTCGGCCTTTTTGTTCCTTTCTTTTGTTTCTTCGTCAAGTTCCCGCGGTCAAGCAGGCTTGCCGATCTAAGGTCACTTTCACAAATCGTATCTAAACAGACTCGTTTTCACAGTCTCTGTGATTCCTAGCGTCACGTTTAATTGTTGCGCACCATTCATAATTTCAACCCTCTTTCAAGTCGCATTCCTCGTTGAAACCCAGTCATGCCTCCCGTTTCCGCTTCCAAGGCCAAGCGTCAGGCGTAAGTATCTATCCTCTCAAAACGTCAAAGCGCGCTATAGTGACACCACGTCATGTTCGCCGCAACACACTGGCTGTATACGTAACAATCACACTCACCGCAGTCTCTTTTATCATTTTTATTCTTTTAAAAAAACCCCTTCCTCCGTTTCCTACCACGCTTTTGCGTCTTCTACGCACATTTCGAATTTCACCGATGCTTGATCACCAACAGCGAAAAGGCCGCCAAGGCTGCTGCCAAGGGAGACAAGTCTTCCAAGTCTTCCTCCAAGTCTGGCACCACCAACGGCACCTCCGAGACTCCCATGACCAACCTCTCTGCCAACTCCTCGGTCGAAGAGCTCAATATGAAGAAGCTCAACCTCGCCACCGAGCGTAACGCATCCGGTGTCATCACTTCGGACAAGCAGTCCCGTGATATTCACATTGACAACTTCACCATGTCCTTCCACGGTCGTCTCCTCATCGACACTGCCACCATTAACCTCAACTACGGTCAACGTTACGGTCTCCTCGGCGAGAACGGCTCCGGAAAGACCACTTTCCTTGCCGCCCTCGCCGCTCGTGACGTCGAGATTCCCGAGCACATTGACATTCACATCGTTTCCGGTGAAGCTGAGCCTTCCGATGTCAACGCCGTCGATTACATTGTCGCCTCCGCAAAGGCGAAGGTCGCCAAGCTCGAAAAGGATATCGAAGAGATGTCAGTCGCCGACAACATCGACGAGGTTGCGCTCGAGATGAAGTACGAAGAACTCGAGGAGCTTGACCCCAGCACCTTTGAGACCAAGGCCGGCATGATCTTGCACGGTCTCGGTTTCTCCACAACCATGATGAAGAAGCCCACCAAGGACATGTCCGGTGGTTGGAGGATGCGAGTCACCCTCGCCAAGGCCCTCTTCATCAAGCCCCACTTGTTGCTTCTCGATGAGCCAACCAACCACTTGGATTTGGAAGCCGTCGTTTGGCTCGAAGCTTACCTTTCCACCTACAACCACATCCTGGTGCTCACCTCGCACTCGGCCGATTTCATGGACTCGGTCTGCACTAACATCCTGGACTTGACCCCCCAGAAGAAGTTCTTGACCTACGGTGGTAATTACTCGACCTACGTCCGAACCAAGGAGGAAAACGAGACCAACCAGATGAAGGCCTACGCCAAGCAGCAGGAAGAAATCGCTCATATAAAGAAGTTCATTGCTTCCGCTGGTACCTACGCTAACTTGGTCAAGCAGGCCAAGTCCAAGCAGAAGATCATCGACAAGATGGAGGCGGCAGGTCTGATCGAGCCTGTCTGGGCACCCAAGCCATTGCGATTCAACTTTGAGGACGTCCGCAAGATGCCCCCTCCCATTATCGCCTTCTCCGACGTTGCCTTCTCTTACAGCGGCAAGAAGGAGGACTACCTCTACAAGGACCTCAGCTTCGGTATCGACATGGATTCTCGTGTGGCTATCGTGGGTCAGAACGGTACCGGAAAATCCACCTTGCTCAACCTCATCACTGGTGCACTCAACCCTGTGGAAGGTACGGTTCAGAGGCACGCTGGTTTGAAGCTCGGCAAGTACTCACAGCACTCTGCTGACCAGCTTCCATACGACCAGTCGCCACTCGAGTACATGGAGAGCAAGTATAAGCAAAAGTTCCCCGAAAAGGATCTTCAATTCTGGCGTGGTCAGCTTGGTCGATTCGGTCTGTCGGGTGCTCACCAGACCGCGCCCATTCGTACGCTCTCGGACGGTCTGCGTAACCGTGTCGTGTTCTCGCAACTCGCCATGGAGCAACCGCACGTCTTGTTGCTCGACGAGCCAACCAACCATTTGGATATGACCTCGATTGACGCGCTTGCCAATGCGATCAAGGAGTTTGAAGGTGGTGTGGTGATTGTGTCGCACGATTTCCGACTGATCAGCCAGGTGGCAGAGGATCTTTGGGAGGTCAAGGACAGGAAGATCGTCAACCTGTCGAAAATGGAAGTATCGATTCAGGACTACAAGAAGCAGCTCGCAAAGAATTCGGCCGAGGCCATTGAGAGGGCTAAGCTCTTCGCAAAGGGTAAAGCGTAAACACCTCAGTTGTTGTATTGGCCAGACGACTCGAATGTCGGCTTGTGCGTGTAAAACCTCCAAAAACTAATCGTGTTGCAAGCCTTGATTCGGACGTCGGCATGTCTTGTCTTGTCCTCTCTTTTTGATCTGTAATTTGTTTATATCTCTGCCCCCTTTGTGTGCAAATGCATTTGTGTTGCTTGACCAAACGAAGGTTTTTTTTTTCGTGACGACCTTGGATGCTTTCGATGATGGTCAAGTGAGGTAAGGTGAGAGTGGGAAAGCGCATTCACAATTGAGGATGCGTTTGTGTACTGAAGCTTTCATGACGAAGTTTGTGGTGTGGATGATTTGAGAGTTTGACCTTTTTTTTTTTTTTTTTTTTTTTTTTTTTTTTTTTAATACTACGCCAGTAAATTTACAGTTCACATTCGAGGTTGGTGATGAGATTGCCCTTAACAAGGCTATTCAAGTGAACAACTTGGATAAAAATGGTATGTAAGATACAAAAACGTATTATGGGAGGATATCTCGAAGGCGGAATTGAGAATTGGTATGGATTATTTTATCTTTGACCTATGCATTCTGAACCGAGTATACCCATCTCTACCCATTTTTCGATCAAATCACAAACGCCCGGATACCCCGCTTGATGAGCCTGACCTTGACTCTGTGATCCACCAATCGTCCCTACATTTGAATTTGTACTTACACCAGTATATCTGAAATCCCTATAATCAAACAACCTATTTTCAGTACCAAACGCCACAAAATGCGCAAACAAACTGTTAAAATGTCCCTCGCAACACAAATGTACCAAAAACTGATACTGAGCATGATAAACATGAGCAAAAACCCTCAACAACTGCTTGTAGATATGTTTACAAGTAGTCAAAAACGTAGGTG